GCCATCCGGGACCAAGTTGTCGGAGGGACCCCTGGGGATTGCAGGGCAACAAGGCAGGAGGATCTGGGTTCCCGGACAGCCAGATGGACCAGAATCTTACCAGCCAGGATGACGTGCATCTCAGTTACTACAGGAGTGAGAGGACTATCCTGTTTATCCCACCATTACTTAGGATTCCATTCCCAACAGCCAGGTCTGCATCCCACTTAAGACTGGGCGAGAGCAGCTCCTCAGATCCCAGGCTGCTCCAGCCCTGCTAGGAAAGTGACAGGCCAGTTTAGGAGCCATAATCTGGCAGGAACAGGACCTGTTTACTTCGATTCCCAGGGCTGTCAGAGGTAAGGAGGGATCAGATTAAAGTTCATCAGATTAAAGTCATCCTGGACCTAAACAATGTTTTATAACAAACTCTTGCCTTAATTAAGCTTTAGAGGATTTTCCATATAAATTTCAATTTACAGCTTGTCTTGAGAAATTAGAGAAGCTGACAGGTGGACCCCCAAATTTCTGCCTAACACTGATAATCTGGCACCTGTGAACAGGGGCTTGGGGAGGGGTGGGGTGCACACTTGCCCCCACTTACTCAATAGGCACATTTAGTTTTCCCTCTGGCCTCATCATCTCCGTTGCACCACCTGCCAAGACCCCAGAGACACCTGAGTTTGTGAGCCCTGTCCTCTCTGTCATCTATTAGTGGCTTTATCTCCCTGATCATGGAAGAAGGTTGAAAGAAGAAGCAGCTCGCTGTCTCTGATCACTTTCTTCTAATATTGTGGGGGGCTTTATTTCATCCCAAGGCCAAGGTGTGTACAGGATTACTTTAGGGCACATTTGCAATATCAAAATCTTCCAGAAATATGGATTTCCCACTGCTTTCTTCCCTCTCCCCTCCCTTTCATTTAAGGATGTGTCACACGGATATCACGATGCAACCAGTGGAGATTGACAGGCACCTGTGTGTCCACTGAGAGCGTAAAATGCCCACACCGTCCTGATTTCAGCTACAGCCACGATTGTGCGACTGCCAGGAAAGAGCCTGCCCAGAAGGGAAATGATCCTGGGCCTCCAGCCCAGTTCACCTTGCCCTTGCAGTGTGACCTGAGGCATGTGATTCACCTTTCAGAGTCTGTTTAGGCTTCTGTGAAAGCAAGAAGACAACACTTCACAGAGGTGTTGGGAGGACTGAGCAAAACACCAGTGCCTTTTGCAGAGTGCCCAAGCAGCATATATGTGACAGGTGTCAGCACCCTCCCTGCTAGCATGTCCTGCCAATGAATAAATGTGGAAAGAGGAACATGCAGGGAGCAAGAAAGACAAGAGAGAGGACCCTGGAGCCAGACTGTTTGGGCTTGAATCCGAACTCCACTACTTAGCAGCATATAACCTCAAGCAAGTTACTTAACCTCTTCGTGCCTCTGTTTTCCTATCTGTGAAATGGGGGTGATGACAGTTGCTACCATATATGCTTGCTAGGGGGATGAAATGAGGTTGATGTAAATGTATCTAAGTGCCTGTTACCAATTTGAAGTGGACCATGATGTAGCTCATGTTAAATATTCTACTTAGAAGACTGTCTGGCACTTCATAAGCACAGGATCAGTTCAACAGGTCTCTTTCATAGGATTGTTATGAGCTTTCAAAAACCAGTCTCGGAACATGGCATCTTGTTCATAATGAATGTCCATTCCCTCTCCTTGTGAGGAAGACTTATTTTAAAAATCAGGATCCTTCACTTTTTGTCTCCCAGTACACCCCCCCAATAGCCCTGCACCCCCCTTGCTTCAACTCTGTCCCATGCTGGGGACCCAGAACACTGCCCTCCCTGGCTGACTCAGTCGGGGCACTCTGGGTGTGGGCAGCGCGTGGTATGCATTCCAAAGCACTTTCTAATCTATGAGCCATGGATGTTGAGAACAACAAAGGGCACTGCCAGGCCGGGGCTACTCTGGTCACTGTGTGACCTAGGCTAGGCCCCTGTACTTCTCTGGGCCAAATTCTTACCTTTAAAGGGGGAGTCTATCCTTGCCCTTCAGCCTCACAGAGCTGCTATAAGCAAGAAGTAAAATTATGCTTATCCAGAGGAGCTATGAGGTGTCATTATGGGATGTTAAAATCATGTAGCCAGAGGAGGGGCTTTATAGGACAAAAACATAGTGTGGGAAGCTAGATCCCCAACAGCTGGTGAGGGTTACTTCTCAGAAGGGAGTTTTGCTTTCATCTTGTGTCCCAGACCAGAGCCTCTGTGCAATCATTCACTAACCTGGCCCTGGCCTGGAGAAGGAGGGAGAGCAGGCCTGCATGCGCAAGGAGGCCAAATTTGGACTTGGGTTTGGAGCTGGGCTAATGCAGGAGGTGGAATGTGGCCAGGGATGGGGGAGGGGAAGGACTGTATTCCCCACAGCCTGGTGTTGACACTGGTCACTGCAAATCAGGGTTCATTCAGGCCCAGGGGATCGTCATGGACAATATACCTGCTTTCCCTCCAGCTAGCTCTGGGCTCTAGGGAGGAGAAGCCCACTCAGAGGAGCCAGACAGGGCAAAGGGCAACCTTCAGATGTGGGGCAGGGGAGGGATGTATAAATATGGGGATGGAAGAAGGGGAGACTGCTCCTCAGACAGGCCCTGGGGGCTGAAATAATGACCAGAGAGAAGCCACACCAGCAGTACTTCCTGTGGGTAAAGCACTTCTGGGGTTAGGAAATGCTTCCCTCATTATTTCTCCTTTCCTCTCTCATACTAGAGTTCGATCTAGGGTGAGAGACACAGGGAGAGATAGGAGGCTGGTGTATTGAATGGGAGGATGTGGCTCAGGCCAAGTGGACACTAGAGACAAAGCCCCTGAGAGACGGCTGTGGACAAGAGTATATGTTGGGCACTGCACAGCTGTGGAGAGGCCCTTCCCATTCAGCCTTGCACTTGGATTACTGAATGGGGCAGGGGTGCTGCAAGAGAGGGCAGCTGCTTAATGCACAGCGGTCTTTCTCCCCTGCAAGAGGATCTTCCCTCTCCTCAGCCAGGAGTTTACAGTGTGAATAGTGTCCCCTGAAGTTGTGCAACATGGAGCCGGGAGCCATCAGCTAGGCAGTTGAACCGGGCCACTGGCCTGCCCGGAACTGAGGATGCAGAGAGGAAGTACCAACCCCCCCTCCCCCCCACACACATACTGACACCACTGTCCTCCTGACTGGAAACACCTTGCTAAAGCTAGTTTCCGGAGGCTGCTGTGGAAAACTGTTTGAGAGCAGGTCAAAGAGCATGTTAGGGAAAAATACAGCTGGACAGCCCCCGCCCCAGGATTCTCTGGTACATGCTGCTTTCCAGGCCACAGAACCCTTCAGCAATTCCCAGCTCTACCCTGGCCCAACAAGGTCAGAAGACCCGAATCGCATAGCCAGCAGTGGAGTGCCTGAGACAGCACATCTGTGCTGGGGTGGACAAGTCTGCATTCTTGGGGCCTCTATTCCTTGGAGTATGTGGGATGTCCCATGAGCTCCAAGCTGTGCACCAAATATGTGTACACTGACATTTAGGAACAGGTGTACCTCTGAGTGGGTGAAATGGAAAGGGAATGTCTGTGCTGAAGGCCCAGGGATCAGCTGATGCTATATTATTATTATTATTATTATTATTATTATTTTAGTTGGAGATGGACATATACCTTTGTTCTATTTATTTTTACTTATATGTGGTGCTAAGGATGGAGCCCAGTGCCTCACACATGCTAGGCAGGCACTCTACCACAGAGCCAAGCCCCCAGCCCCCGATGCTATTTCTAGGGCCTGGGATGCAGGTAGATTGCAAGTCAGACCTCTGGGGAGAAGGGGGCGTGGCAGGTGATGGAGGCTGAGAAGGGAACCCACAGAGTGGGTCAGGAGACTGGCTTAAACTCTAGCCCCCCCTGGTCCTTCACTATGACACCAATCCCAAAGACACAGCTGTGTAGATTCCAGCCCTGGCTTGTCCCTGAGGAGGTCCTGGGGAAGCAGACAGGACGGAGCCCTCATTTACTGGAGGAAAAAACTCCAGATACAGCCCTATGAAGACCTTCTTATGGGAGGTCCCAATCTTGTAGAGGAGCAGGCTGCATTGCTCAAGGTGGCCCCAATCTGATAATGGACACCAGATAACACCCAGACAATGTACCTGTCTGCTGGGGAGGGTTGGGGATAGACAGAAAGCCCCTAAAGGTTGGTGCTGGCGACAGCTGTACCCAGTTGCTCTATTTCTTCCATCCTGTGCCCAAAGCAAGAATAGGATTCCTGGAGAGGTGGGCGTGCCTCTGCCCCCAGCGGCCACAGATCAGCTCAGCTCAGACTCTGGTAGTGAGCTAGGGGTGAGGAGAGAAGCCAGGCCTGGGGCTGGAAGAGCTGGGTTATAAATAGGTCTGAGAGCAGGCCTTCCGGGAGAGGATCCCAGGGGAGCCGGCGACACCGCGCTTTGCTACCCACAGTGCGGAAAGACACATTTCAAGAGTCCAGAAGAGTGAAAGGAGAGATGCTGTCTCAGGGCCAGGCCCCAGAAAGCGCTGCTC